AATTACATCCAATCCAGAAGTCAGGTGACCTGAATTCATTTGCCCCTTGGTGGGCAATTCACTCAGTATTGTATCTGCCTCGCTTCCTCATCTATAAAATGGGCCAGTACTCACCGTGCTTTATGCAGAAAGCTGTGGCAATAAATGAAATCTTTATTTATTTATTCTTTAAACCCTCAACTGAGGATATTTTTCTATTTATCTTCAGATAGAGTGGGAGGGAGGGAGGGAGCAAGAGAAACATCGATGTGAGAGAGACACATCGACTGGTTACAACCCGACCAGGGCCGGGGATGAACCGCAACTGAGGTACGTGCCCTTGTTCACAATCGAACCCGCAACTCTTTGGTTCACTGATGCTCTAACCCAGTAGTTCTCAACCTTCCTAGTGCCGCGACCCTTTAACACAGTTCCTCTTGTTGTGATGACCCCCCAACCATTTTTATTACTTCATAACTGTAATGTTGCTACTGTTATGAATTGCCATCGGAAATACGTGTTTTCCGATGATCTTAGGCAACCCCTGTGAAAAGGTCATTCGACCCCCAAAGGGGTCGTGACCCACAGGTTGAGAACCGCTGCTCTAACCGCTGAGCTAAACCAGCCAGGGCAATAAATGAAATCTTTAAAAGTGCTACTCAGATTCAACTAATATCTATTGAAGTATCTACCCTGAGCTAGACACTCTATTACATATTTTATTTATATATTTTTCCATTCATCCTCACAATAACTCAATTACATAGACATTAAGATGAAAAACTGAGGGTCAGAAAAAGTTGAGTATCTCTTCTCAGATAGCATAATTAGCCATAGGCAAACCTAGGATTCAAACTCAAATTCAGCGCTCTTTCCATCTTATCATTTCTACTTTTATCTTTGTATACTCAAGATGCTCTTATAAGATTTCCCAATAAAATGAAACTTTTGCCAACTACCAATAAACTGTATTAGAGAAAGCAAAGGAGACTGCAAAGGTCATTTGCAAATGGGTCTGAACCAGGCTTGTAAGCACGTACAGCCTAAGGTCAAGGTGCTGTGACACCGCACTTCCTGGGGAGGCGAAAATGTATACATATGAATATAATCTGGAAAGGAGAAAACTCCAGACTCCTTTCTGAAAGAAATAAGGAATGTATTAATTTCAGACTGAGGATGAACAGAGATATGTGAGAAGTAAATATCTGGCTGGCATTGGAAGGCCCAGAAATGAGAATGCCTCAATTCCTGGGTAAGACACACGTTCCTGAACAGTATCTATCAGGAGAGCAGGTTCACTGCCTACTAAAAATTGCACAGACTGAGATCCCTCAGAACGTGTTTATAGCTGCTCCGTCACTAAGGCGCCAACATTTGATCTGTTCTTTCCAAAATAGGTATTTAAAAATTCAAAAGGAAAAAAGGCAAGAGCCTGGTAAACAACGTCTTCTGCAGCTCCTGTAAGCATTGCAGCTACAGTGAATATCAAACAATTGGTTGCAAGGGCTGAGCAGACTTTCGGTCCGATGAGAGAAAAGTCTCCAGAGTGGTGGTTGCAGAAAGGAGGAGCAGCTACTCCTTTCTGCTGCTTGGTTATCATGACCTGAAGAGGAGAAACCACAGCTGACCCGCCTGTTTGAAAGGAAGACAACATGGTGAGCATGTTCCTCGGTGGGTATTCACTGTTCACCCTGCACTATGCTCCGGGAAGGTATGTGGCCAAAGAAGGAAGGAAGCGAGGCACCTAGAGTCCTAATTTTCTGACCTCTCCCCCGTACCCTGCCCAACTCCTCTTCAACTCTTTTCTAGGAGAAAGAAGTTCTGTCTGTGGGAGACTAGTCCCTGGGAAGTAGAGGTTCTATCAAAGAAGGCCCTAAGTCTTTTTTTTTTTTTTATCCTCACCCGAGGACATTTTTCCATTTTGTTGTTGTTGTTGTTGTTCAGATAGAGTAGGGAGGGAGAGAGAGAGAGAAACATCAATGTGAAAGGGACACATCAAGTGGTTGCCACCCGCACGGGGACAAACTGCAACTGAGGTACATGCCCTTAGCAGGAACCGAACCCAGGCCTCTCTGAACTGCAGGCCGATGCTCTAACTGCTGAGCCAAACCAGCCAGGGCCCTAAGTCTTAATTAATTATTGATAATACCCAAATTGGAGTCATCACAGAATTAGAGTGCCACAATCTCTCATGAAAGATTTCAGAAATCCAAAATGATCTGAAAATAAAAAGTTCCTTTTTTTGTAATTCTTTGGCAAGCAAAACCTGACCTAACTTCTTCTGGTGACAAAACCTGATCTGGATTTATGGGAGAGTGTGACAAGGAGCTACCCCAAGCTCCTAGGGGACTATGCCATATTTAGTATATGCATCATAGTATTTTATCAGAATCTGGGGAGGAAAAAATGAATTCCAAGAATACTTAATTCCAAGTATTGTGGAATGGATTGTGGACCTCTGTTCCATGTCCTTATGTGTTCTTTTTCTTTTTTCTTATGTGCTAAATGCTGGTTAATCCATCTCTTATACAGTACAATTCAACTAATCCACGGGATCTTAATAAGCAGGTATACGTTCACAGAAAATGCACAGCTTCCCTGACCAGGTCTGTTTACTTTCAGGGTCGAACTGCGCAGGCTGAGGTTTACACACCAACAAAGCAGCACCTCTGGCAGCAGCTGGCAGAATTCGGTACCTGGAGAGCACCTAGGACAGCCTCGAAGGAAACCCCCTAAGGCAATTTACAAGATAACTGTCTTAAAACTGATCCACTTCCCTGACAGCTAACAACCTCACCTCCAGCAGCTACTACATTTAAAATTTTAATTTGTCTGTCTCACACATTAAAATTTTTGTTTAAATCCTGGAGAGCTTTAGAAATTCAGCATCAGAGGTGCCTATACAACCCCCCAATTCTCAAAATTTTTGTCAGTGAAAAGCATACCTAAAACAGAAAACATAGTAATACATACTACTCATTTTCTTTTCTATTTCTCTTTTGGTGGAATTATTTTATTTCAAACACAATGTAAAAGAATGGGCACCTGACAATCACTTCTTCTGAATGAGAGTTGGTGGATAAACTCGGACATTTGCTTAGAAAAGACACATATGGCTGGTTTGGCTCAGCAGTTAGAGCAGAGCGTGGGCCTGTGAGCTGAAGACTCAGGGTTCGGTTCCCTTACCCGTACCTGGGTTGCAGGTTTGATCCTGGCCCTGGTCGGGTTGTGCAAGGCAACCAATCTATGAAAGAGATGTTTCTCACACTCTCTCCCTCCCTCCCTCCCACTTTCTCTAAAAATCAATGGAAAAGGGCGAAGATTAACAACAACAAAACAACCAAAGAAAAGACACTTATCAAGAGCTGGTAGGGCCACAGGTAGGGCCTCTGGATCACAAAATGCTCCGCTGATTTTTAAAGATCTGATAGTCAAATATTTTGTCCTATACGCCAAGCTAGTTTGTTCTAAATTTAACACTCTTGAGTGGAATGTGGATTACAGATACCCATACTCAAATAAAGAACTACAACTTTAAACTGTGCTCCAAATGTTGTATCTAAATCCAGTCTCCCAGGTATCTAGTCTCCTATGTATATCTAGGAAGCAAAGTGAAAGGTCATCACTTGGAATGTGAGAAATCTAGAGTAGGTCAGGAAGAATGCCTGCCCCAGACCACTGCTGTTTAAATGGAAGGTTTTAGCCCAGAGTTCTGTCACTTGTCAGAATGTCTGACTTCTAAATCTTGTGTACTTGTGGATTTGGGGTAAATACAGACCAAAAATGCATGAGAGAGAAAGATTAAAAATGAAAATAAAATAGAAAAACAGTAGCTTCTTCTTGACAAAGAAGAAAGAGGAGGAGGAAGAGGAAGAGGAGGAGAAGAAGAGATATCAGTGCCTATATTTATGAAAGAAGCAAATAGCAGAGAAGGGAAAGAGCTATTTAGGGTGTATAACTAGGAATTATAATTAAGATTCATGGGAAGGAAAAATGTATGCTGTGTGACAAAGGTAGCTATGGCCAAAGATTATTTCTCCCTTTTTCCTCATCAGAAAAATTCTGATTTTATTTGGGCAGCAGTGGACTCAACCAAAGGATGTTTTTCCCCAAACTCCCTTGTGCTAAGTTTGGCACATGATTGGGTTCTGGTCAGGGACATACAGGCAGAGTGTTCAGAGGGATGCGGAACTTTGGGGAGAGCAGGGGGGTGGGGATGGGGAAGGCTGCCCTCCAGAGGCTGGTTCAGTCTTTTCATGGCTTCTTCCTTCTGAAACAAAGAGTTCCAGCAGCCAACTGGACCATGGGTTAAAAATAGAACTCACTACTAGGATATGAAGCAAAAAGATAAGAGCTGAGCCCCCCTTCTTTATGGAACGGCCATATTTAGTCCGCACTGGCTGCCTCTGGACTTCTTTCACATGAAAGAATTACCGCTTATGATTTTACTGTTGTTTACTTTTTGTTGTTATGGTTATATTCAGCTCTGTCAAAAACCGATTGATTGAGTCTAGCAGAAGGAAAAAATAAATCAATCACAGGATCCATGACTCAGGCCCTTGCTACTCAAAGTGGGGTCCCTGGAAGTGCAACCTGGGCATCACTTGGGGCTTGTTAGTAATACAGAGGCTCAGGCCCCTCCCAGACCTACTGATTCCAAATCTACATTTTAACAAGATCCCTGGGTGATTTGTATGCACAGTGTGAGAAGTTCGAGTAGCACTGACTTAAAGTAAATGCCCTTTGAAAAACCAGACTAAAAAGCATGGATTTGAATGGCCTGCTGGGCAATGTTCTTATTACCTAAATTTATATCCTGAATAAAAAGACACGAAGAAACATGACCTGATTTTGAGATCAGACATCAAACATACTTTTTCAAATAATAATTTTCTCAATAGGTTCAAAATGCACTAAAGAAAAACCAAACATAAGTTTATAAAAAGTAAAAACAACAACAAACTAAATTTGGGCATTTTAAACATATAATTCATAATTAAGTAGGGTACTTTATACATAATGATAAAACTGTCAAAATCCAAAAACAACCCTTTTGACCATTTATTACACCAAAGCTTTTTTATTCTCATTTTTAGGTTACTAACCACTAATTCTCTGACAAGTTTGGTTATATCCCAGCTGCTCAACTGAAATTTTGTTTACCTGTGCAGCTTTTAAAGTGAAAATAATACTTCCAGTGTATCATTTCAGTGAGCAAAATTTTTCCTCCACTCCCCAAAAGGACTCCCAGTCAGTAACTGCAATTCTTTAAATGCACAAGAAGTTTTGAATAAATTAATTTTAGTTAATTTTCAAATAGTTTTTCTATAGCAGTGTTTTAGAAATAATTTACACACAATAAAATGCCCAGCTCTTCACTTTACTACCAGATGAGTTTAACAATAACATACACCCATGTGACTACCATCAATATATAGGAGGTCTCCTCACCCCAGGAAGTTCCTTCACACTGCTTTGCAACCCCACCTCCACCTGTCACACACACACAGCCGCATCTGTGGTGGGATATTATTCTTATGGGGCCAGAAAATGGAACCAAAAATGATTTTACAATTTAAAGCTGATTAAATAGCACTGAGAACCACAAAGGTCCATGTTGCCTGCATGTGCCCTTATTATGTTTCAGTCCTCTGTCCAAAGCTGGTCTACTGTGTGACAGAAAGGCTGCAAAAGGCCTTGAGCTTTGCTCACCTAACAGTGTAATGTTAATACAATTTGCTAAAACATTGGCTATACTTGAGTGGTTTCTTGATCTATTTCCTTTAAGTCAGTTTTAAATAGGTTTTCTTCTTACGGGAGGCACTCATTTCAAGTAGTGCCTCCTGCCCTCCCATTTCTGATACCAGAGAGAGCTAGAAAGTGGAGAGATTTGCAGTTGAAAATACAGTTTACTTTAAAAAAAATTTTTTATTATGCCGGGTTATTATCGTGGGTTGAAGTGGGGAGTTAATAAGCTAAATGTTGTTCCTTTTGTCCTAATCCGATCTCTTTAGTTAGATATCACCTGCACAGAGAGGGCCAGTGAGCACTCTTCTTCCTTCTTAGAATCAATTTACTCCTTCAGTTTTCCAGCAGTTCACTTTCCCCATTTTAGGAGGTAGCCAATGATCATTTACACAGTCCTTACAAGAAGATTATGAGAAAGGCACTTCTAGGTTTTGGTACACTGAAAATGTAAGATACCACTAATATTAACAGTTTGACTTGCAGACCCAAGCAACCAATTCTGAGGTGTAATATCAAAACAAAATATAGGAGACCACGCACAGTGCAATTCCCAGTTATTCTTAACCAACACATCCATATCCCTTGTCTCTAATTACAGGCAGTGGAGCAGCATCGTCCAGGGGTCAGAGTTCAGTTCTGGGGTGCGCCGCTGCATACTTGGGTGCCAGCTCTTTGATCAGATTCACGTAGTCGGCTTTTTCCGCACAGGCCCTGCACTCCTCTCCCCAGCGGTCCAGTATCTGTTTCAGCTCTGCCACTCTCATCTTCCACAGGTCCGTTGACACTAAGTCTAACTTCTTTTCTAAATGACAAAAAGGAAAATCATATTTTTTAAAAACCAGTAACTCTGAAATACTTAGAAAGGCAAATGGTGTTACTTATCTTGGTGCTGACTCCCCTGTGATCCAAAGTGGAGAACAGTTCTAATTTCTATGGAAACCAAGACACACCTAAGGAAAGTGTATATACACTAAGCTATTGGCATAACTTGTGTTCTATCAGGCTTTCTCTCCATGGAATTATACTCGGAGCCTCAAGACTGTATAGCTTGCCCTGGCCAGTTTGGCCCAGTTTGGCTCAGCGGTTAGAGCATCGGCCTGCGGTCCAGAGAGACCCGGGTTCGGTTCCCACTAAGGGTGCATACCTCGGTTGCAGTTTGTCCCCAGCCCTGGTTGGTCGTGTGGGTGGCAGCCACTCGATGTGTCCCTTTCACGCCGATGTTTCTCTCTCTCTCTCTCTCTCTCCCTCTCTCTCTCTCTCTCTCTCTCCTCCCCACCCCCTCCCTCCCTCCTTCCCACTCTATCTGAACAACAACAACAACAAAAATGGAAAAATGTCCTCAGGTGAGGATAAAAAAAAAAAAAAAATCAATGGAAAAATATCCCTGAGTGAGGATTAACGAGAACAAACAAACAAATAAAAACTGTAGCTCTGCAGTATCTGCTACCACTCCATGCCTTCTCAAGATCCGCATTCCTAAAATGAACAGCGCCACATTCTAATTGCTGCTCCTAAGGTAGAAGAAGGCAATCGGGGAAAAGGGATGCCTTGGGCCGCCTATGTGTGGCCAGCTGAAATCCATAGATCATAATGAACTAGAAAGTTATGGCTCACTTTTCATACAAAGATATGTCTTCAGTAAAACAGCTAAGCATACATAATACAAAGCACTATCAAGTCTTTACATAAAAATGTAAAGCAACCCAAACACGTGAATATAATTAGGAGCATTTTTTTTTTTCTTTTTATCCTCAACCGAGGACATTTTTTCATTTTTTGTACAGATAGAGTGGGAGGGAGAGAGAGAAAGAGAGAGAGAGGGAAACATCGATGTGAAAGGGACACATCGAGTGGCTGCCACCCGCACGACCAACCAGGGCCGGGGACAAACTGCAACCGAGGTACGTGCCCTTAGCGGGAACCGAACCCCGGTCTCTCCGGACCGTAGGCGGACGCTCTAACCGCTGAGCCAAACCGGCCAGGGCTTATTGATCTGTATTTGTGTTGGATCTCTGGGTAACCTCACCTGATCTCCCATCCCTGCTGGGATTACTAATTTATCACAGCATTCACTTGCAGTCCTTTGCGGGAGACCCACTTCTCTATTGCTGGTGCTTCAGTGCCAGCCAATCTGGCTTGTAACATTCTTACCAATAATATTTGTCACCAACATCTGACTCCTTTAGCAAGATTACTGTTTCCCTGCTTACAGATTATCTGCAGAGAATGTTAAGAACTCAACTATTTTTCTATCATCAAGCCCCAAAACAGAAAAATAAATTAAGCTCATCTATAATATACTTATGATTATAATTTCCCTATGAGAAAGGAGTAATTTTCCTTAAATTTATACAATGTTTTAAGTCAATTATATCTCAATAAATCTAGAAAAAATAATAAATGTTGGATTCTAAAGCCTTATTTATTTGGAGGGTCAGCTCCAGATGAAAGGGTCAGCTACCTTTAAATTTTTATAGTGATCCCCCTCCTTTTAAGATATGGAACAAGCAAAAATATTCTTTCCGGTGAAAAACCAAATGACACCTTCCTAATTGAAAACATAATCTAACTCTACACCTTCCTTGTTAATTTCATGGATGACTTGACAGAATACCTTTAAAATAGAAGCATTTATCCCCCCCCCCCCAAATTATTACTATCCCACAACTCAAAGGTCCCTATTCGATTTCAACATTCTTGCCAACAATAAGCGAGAATAAAACATTAGGACTAGTGGTCTATTCCAGATAATTGGTTGAAGGAGAAATATACTTTCTTAAAAGTGTCAGTAGTTTCTTTGAGCTTTTCTGAAGAACTTGTAGTCTGATACTGATTTTAAAAAGGAGAAACCTCTGTGACACCCCAAAACTACAAGGAAAAGGTTGATACCAAAATTAAAACTAGTTCATGGCTCCCCAAGGGCCTCTAGTGGCCAGCATTGCCCAAATACTAGTAAGTATTTGTTTCTTAGTAATACTTGATTAATTTTTCTATTATTCTGGAACCCAGTAAGATCTCTTACACATAATAGAAGATATTCAAAATAAGTTTTTTGAATTAAAGAATCCAGCACAGGTTTGTCCCTTTCAAGAATATTATTTATGTGAACTCAGTGATTCCTGCCTCTACTTCATCACTTGGAAGCCAATAAAAAGGGATGCCTGCCCCATAATCACTACCCTGGAAGTTAGGGCCTGCCCTTGCCAAATTGAGAAACATGTTGTTTTGGTATTTTCCAACCTTAAATCTATTTAAAGCCAGTTGTGTAGCTATGATCCATAGGCATATTATTAGACAGCTGTGTTAGAAAATAAGACTAAAATAATTCAGAGCTGGGTGCTAATAGGTAGTTCACAATACTACACTGTAACATAAAACAATAACTTGAGCAAAAGAAATGGGTCTCTACTGGTGGAATTTCAGGTATTAAGGGTAGGCTAAGGGAGGAATCCCCCCAGCCTTTATCATACTTACTCAATCTACCCAAAAAGGCTGGCCCAGATAGAAATCCTCAGTATAAGAATAAATGTATCTATGTGAAATGTGTAAGCCAAGGATGATTTAAATAGGACATCTTTCTTTCCTCGCTGTTTATTTTAGGCACCCTCAATAAGGCTATTTCATCAGGCAAAACCTGATTTGATGTGAATAACCTATTTCCTAAAATTTAAAGCTGGCAGAATAATAGACAAATCTAGGGGAAAAGATACAGACACATTTAAAACTTCAAAGTCTTTATATCACCTTTGAATCACTGAATAGATGCAGCTTTTCTTAGTAGGTAACCAAGAGCTGAATCACTGAGAGTAATTGTTCCCTTGATAATTTGAACGTTTCTTTGACATACACAGTCAACACTGCTTTGGTGACTTTTTTTTTTAATCCTCACTCGAGGATATTTTTGCATTTATTTTCAGACAGAGTGGAAGTGGTGGGGGGCATAGAAACATCGATGTGAGAGAGACACATCGATTAGGCCACTCATATAGCCCCATTAGGGTCGGGGACCAACCGCAACCAAGGTAGTGCCCTTGGCCGGAATCAAACCCAGGACTCCCTGGTCCGCAGGCCAAAGCTCTAACCGCTAAGCCAACCCGGCCAGGGCTGCTTTGGTGATTTAAGAATTTAAACTTTCCTATTTGGGTTGAAACCTAAAGTTGATTGTGCCAGTAATAATTTCTCTTACCAGACAAAAAGCTCAGGTGGCACTCAGCACTACTCATCTGCCCAAGAATCTAATGACAAATGGAGAATTTCTTTCCTAACACTGACTTTTAAGAAACACAGCCTGGATAAGACCACCAGTTCTCCGCCATGGGTCGGTTTGGGGTAGTTCCGGAAAGCAGGAGTGAGGTCTTCTCCAGATATGCATCGACGGAATTTTCGACCCCCGAGTCCTCCTTGCCCCTGCCCGAGTGTATGAGTTTGGAGTACTGGGAACAGCTTCTGGGGTACCCGGGCAGAGGTGGACCCCGGCCGCCCTCGAGGGACAGGTACGGGAGTCCTCACCACACGTCGTCGTATGGGCCCTGGTGTAGGCCCTACGGGAGCAGCCACTCTCTGCGACACAGCGGCAGCTTCCCCCGGGGTCGTTTCGGGTCTCCGTTCCTGGCAGCTACCCTGGCTCCTACTCCAGGTCCTGGCGGAGTCCCAGCAGCAGCAGTTCGTCTACTCCCCAGGACAGCACCAGACCCATCCCCAGGGTTCTCCAAAGACATCTACACCTTTTGGATCGGGGCATAGTACAGAAAAACGAATGTCCAATGAGTTGGAAAGTTATTTCAAACCTTCAATGCTTGAAGACCCTTGGGCTGGCCTAGAACCAGTATCTGTAGCGGATATAAGCCAACAACACAGCAGTACTCAAACATTCACAGGCAAAAAAGGAAGATACTTTTGTTAAAATTTCTGAAATCCAACTGGAAGCTTCATGTGTAAGAAACATCTTGGACAAAACTTTCACTTGTGTATTTAAGTTGAACCCTGACATGGTGACTTTAATTGAATAATTAGTTGGGTCTTCTTAGTATTTTTCATCATATCAAATATTGTTGGTATTAGAGAAGAACTATGGTAGGATAATTTGCAATATTTAGCTCTCTGGAAGTGCCTGTCACATTTTAGAAGATTTATAGTCTCCAAATATTTAACCTTCTTGGTTACATAATGGACATTTGTCGTTTAATGTTTTTCCAATGTTTTAAAATAGAACATTTTGTCTTTCTAGCTATATTGTGGTTTTATCATATGCTTAAGGAATAGAATTATTAAAACAATGCTTTATAATCAGACTTCATAAATAAATATTTTGCCTACTGCTTTTGAAAATAAAATAAATGAACCATCCTTTGAAAAAAAAAAAAGAAGAAACACAGCCTGTTTCGAGAATTGGCAGTACTTCAGACATTCTAGGAAAAAAAGACTTGACTCCATGATACCATATTTCAGCTCACAGATTTGGCTGTCCATCTTCCTGAGCTTCTCACAAATCTTCACTGCAGGCATGTGCACGCTCATGGGGCGAGTGACCTCACTCAGGATCTTCGTGGCTGCATCTTTTGTTGCCCCTAGATAATAGCACTGAAAGAGAAGGAAGAGATTTTTAGTGGCCCAGACACTGAGAAAAGCAAATTATATGGTTTTGAGAAGTGAGAAAGAGGTTAACCTAGTTTTCATGGCCCACCTATGATATTTTAAGCCCTGCTGAGACACTGGAAAACAAATGACTGCATTCCCATGAGCATCCTAATTATAAGTGCCGGACGTTCCCATGATGCTCCAAGGCTTGTTGAGTGCATTCCGTATGCCAGGCGCTGCTCTCAGGGCTTTACAGGCACTGACTTATGTCTCACAACAACCCTGTGAAGTAAGTACTATTATTACCCCCATTTGATACCCAAGCCAACTGAAGGTCATTCAGCTAACAAGTAGAAGAAATTAAATTTTTTGAAGGCCAGCATTTTGGCTCTACAGTGCATGTCTTTTTTTTTATGTTATACTGCCTTTCAAGCTACCCAACTTAAGTATTTTACATTTAAACATATAAAACTTAGTGGTACACATACATGCTGAGAGGTTTACATGTGCCAGAGGTGAGCTGTCAACAAGGCAAATTTAACTGGAAAATGAAACATGACAGTTTCAGGCAAAAGAAATCGGCCTAAGATTGTTTTTAGTGATGTAAACCAGTGTATTGAAAAAGTCATTTGTGCATATCCAGGAAACACTATGTAAACACCATTACAAAAAAATATAAAAACTTCATTGGTTACCTATAAATAATGATATGAAATATTTTGAAAGGTTTAACTAATTGTCTTGTTAAGAAATAGAAAGTCTACCCATTCTTAACTCAAGACAGTAAATTCTCAATTAGACATTCAATTGTATAATTTTTTTAAAGAAAATATGGTCTTGGTTTTGTGCGGTTTATTCCAAAAGCAAAATGAAACCAGATGTATTCTAGATGAAAATTCATGTGATTGCATTTCACTGAATGATCAGTTTCTGCTTGCTCTCTACAGTGAACATGCCTGAGGCCAGCATCTAAGCAGGAGAGCATTAAGTCCAAGACAAGAAATGAAAGTATTAGCAGTTTCCCTCAAGCACAAGGGAAAAATAAAAGGTGAAAATTTACCATACCAGGCGGTTTTCTTTTCCTTTGACACCCAAGCAAAAGCTGATCAATTCTTTTTCTATGGTGTCCAGCGAAAAGTTAATTCCTCTGGCTATCAAGGAATTGTAGAATCGGTTCAAGAATTCTTCACATACTAGAAGGAACAAAGAAATTATGTATTTATGTACAAGATAACCACTACCACACCTATCTCTGTATATATTCTACTCACCAAATAAAAATGTAAGTATGATTCAGTGCATTGTAAAAATGAATAAAAATATTAGGAAGAATGATTTTGGGTCTGTGGCTATTTGTTTAGGACTGGGTTTTGAATAATAGGAGTTTATAGAATCAATCAATCTATCTTTGGAACCAAGTTTCACCTGAAATGATAATATTCCTACAAAATTTGGCAACCCCAAAATAAAATACAGCTTTCTATAGGACATGATGTTGGGACATCTTAATTTTTTGGTGGGTTTTTGTTTTCTTTGGGTTTTTTGTTTGTTTGTTTGTTTGTTTTTACATTCAATATTACTTTGTATTAGTTCCAGTTGTACAGCATAGTGGTTAGATAATCATATTCTTTACAAAGTGGTTCCCCTTATATTTAAAGTACCTACCTGAAACCATACATACAATATTATTGACTATGTATCTGATGCTGTATTTTACGTCCCCGTGACTATTTTTTAACTACCAATTTGCACTTCTTTTTTTAAAATTTTTTTTCTTTATTGATTTTAGAGAGAAAGGGAGAAGGAGAGAGAGATAGAAACATCGATGAGAAAGAACATCGATTTGGCCACCTCCTGCATGCCCTGCACTGGGGATTTGGCCCACAACCTGGGTATGTGCCCTGAACGGAAATCAAACTGGTGACCTCTTGGTGCATGGGTTGCTGCTCAACCACTGAGCCACTCCAGCCAGGCAATTTTCACTTCTTGATCTTTTCACCTTTTTTACCCAGACTCCCAAATCTCCTCCCCTCTGGAAACTGTCAGTCTGTTCTCTATATCTATGAGTTTGTTTCTATTTTGTTTGTTTGTTTATTTTCTCTTTAGATTCCACATATAACTGAAATCATATGATATTTATCTTTTTCTGTCTGACTTATTTCACTTAGCATAATACCCTCTAGGTCCATACTTGCTCTTGTAAATTGTAAGACATCATCTATTTTTAAGGCTGAGTATTATTCCATTGTATATATGTACTACCACTTTTTTATCCACTCACCTATTGATGGGCACTTGGTTTGCTTCCATATCTTGGCTATTGTAAATAATGCTGCAGTGAGCATAGGGGTGCTTATATTCTTTCAAATTAGTGTTTTGGGTTTCTTTGGATATATACTCAAAAGTGGAATCGCTGGGTCATAAGGCAGTTCCATTTTTATTTTATTTATTTATATTTTAATTTATTTTTTTAAATATTATTTTTGTTACAGATGTTTCTCCTTTTTTACCCCATTGGCACGCTCCTCCCCATCCTCCCCGCCCCTACCCCGGCTTTGTTGTCCCTGTCCATTGGTTATGCATACATGCATATAAGTTCTGTGGTTTATATCTTCCCACTCCCACCTCCCCCTCTTCTGAGGGTTGTCAGTCTGTACCCTACTTCCATGTTTCTGGGTCTACCCTATTCCTCTGACTGTTATGTTCATTATATTTCGTATATAAGTGAGATCACGTGGTATTTGTCTTTTTCTGCTTGGCTTGTGTCACTTAGGATAATACTTTCCAGGTCGCTCCATGTCGTCTCAAAGGATAAGAGATCTTTCTTTCTTACAGCTGCGTAGTACTCCATTGTGTATATGTACCACTGCTTTTTTATCCATTCGTCTACTGGTGGACACTTGGGCTGTTTCCAGATCTTAGCGATTGTAAATAGTGCTGCTACAAACATGGGGGTACATATATTCTTTCTGATTGGTGTTTCAGGCTTCTTAAAGAATATTCCTAGAAGCGGGATCACTGGGTCGAATGGAAGTTCAATTTTTAATTTTTTGAGGTGACACCATATTGTTTTCCATAGTGGCTGCACCAGTCTGCATTCCCACCAGCAGTGTACTAGAGTCCCCTTTTCTCCACACCCTCGCCAACACTTGTTGTTTGATGATTTGTTGATGGCGGCCATTCTGACAGGTGTGAGGTGATACCTCATTGTTGTTTTAATTTGCATCTCTCTGATGATTAGTGATGTTGAGCATTTCTTCATATGTCTCTTGGCCATTTGTATGTCCTGTTTGGAGAGGTGTCTATTCAGCTCCTCCGCCCATTTTTTAATTGGGTTCTTTGTCTTCCTTTTGTTCAGTTGTATGAATACTCTATATATTTTGGAAATTAACTCCTTATCTGATGTATCATTGGCAATGATGCTCTTCCATACAGTGGGTTGCCTTTCCATTTTGATGGTTGTTTTTTTTTTTTTTTTTGCTGTGTAGAAGCTTTTGAGTTTGATGTAGTCGCATGTGTTCATTTTCTCTTTTGTTTCTGTTGCCTTAGGTGATGTATCAGTGAAAATTCTACTGCGTATGATGTCCGAAATTTTGATGCATACATTTTCTTCTAGAATTTTTATGGATTCACAGGTCACATTTAAGTCTTTTATGCATTTTGAGTTTATTTTTGTATATGGTGTAAGTTGATGGTCTAGTTTCATTTTTTTGCATGTAGCTTTCCAATTTTCCCCACACCATTTATTGAAGAGGCTGTCTTTACTCCACTGTATGCTCTTGCCACCTTTGTCAAATATTAATTGAGCATATTTCCTTGGGTCCATTTCTGGGTTCTCTGTTCTGTTCCACTGGTCTATATGCCTGTTCTTGTGCCAGTACCAGGCTGTTTTGATTACAGTCGCTTTGTAGTATAGCCTGATATCTGGTATTGTGATCCCACCTACTTTGTCCTTCTTTTTCAAGATTGCTGTGGTTATTTGGGGACTTTCTGGGTTCCGTATGAACTTTTGAAGTATTTGTTCTAGTTCTGTGAAATATGTCATTGGTATTTTGATGGGGATTGCATTGAACCTATAGATTGCTTTGGGTAGTATGGACATTTTAATGATGTTAAATCTTCTATTCCATTTTTAATTTTTTGAAGAACCTCCATACTGTTTTCTGTAGTGGCTGTACCAATCTGCATTCCCACTAATCGTGCACGAGGGTTCCCTTTTCTCCATATCCTCGCCACACTTGTTGTTTGTTGATTTATTGATGATAGCCTTTCTGACAGGTGTGAGGTAATATCTCATTGTGGGATATTTAGCATTTATCTGATGATTGGTGATGTTGAGCATCTTTTTCAAATGTCTATTGGCTATCTGTATGTCCTGTTTGGAGAAGTGTCCATTCAGGTCTTCTGCCCATCTTTTTTTTTTTTTTTAAGAGAGTGGAAATGAGAGAGGGAGGGAGAGAGAGAGAGAAATGTTGATGTGAGAGAGATACACTGATTGGTTGCCTCCTGTATGCACCCCAACCGAGGCCTGGGATCAAGCCTGCAACCCAAGTACGTGCCCATGATTGGGAATCAAACCTGCGACCAAACCTCTAAACTCTGAGCCAGACCAGCCAGGGCCCCATTTTTTAATTGGAATGTTTGTTTATCTGGTGTGGAGTTGTATGAGTTTTTATGACTTTTTAATATTAACCCCTTATCAGAACACACAATTGGTGAATGTGTTCTCCTATTCAGTAGATTTTTTCCTTTTTGTTGATAGTTTCCTATGCTGTACAAAATCTTTTCAGTTTGATGTAGTCTCATTTGTTTATTTTTTTGTTTGTTTCTTGTGCCTGAGGATATTTGAGAAGAATATTGCTAAAACCAAAGTCAGAGATTTTACTGACTGTGGTTTCTTTTAGGAGTTTTATGCTTTCGATTCTTACATTTAAGTCATTAATATATTTTGACTTTATTATAGTATATAGTGTAAGAAGTTGGTCTAGTTTCATTTATTTGCACATATCTGTCCAATTTTCCCAACACCATTTTTTGAAGAGACTGTCTTTACTCCACTGTATGTTCTTGATCCTTTGTCAATATTAGTTGATCATATAGTCATGGATTTATTTTGGGGCTCTCTATTCTGTTCCATTGATCTATATGTTTGTTTCCTATGCTAGTGTCATGCTCTGTTGACTCTTATGGCCTCATAGTATAGTTTATATTAGGAAGTATGATTCCTCCAACTTTGTTCTTTTTTCTCAAGATTGCTGAGGCTATTTGGGGTCTTTTGTGGTTCCATATAAATTTTTGGATTATTTTCTCTAGTCTTGTAAAATATTTCATTCATATTTTGATAGGAATTGTGTTGAACCTATAGATTGTTTAGGTAGTATGGACATTTTAATAACATTAATTCTTCTGTTGTGAGCACAGTATCTGCTTTCATTTATTTGTATCTTCAATTCCTTTCTTCAGTGTTTAATAATTCTCTGAGTACAGGTTTTTAACCTCCTTAGTTAAATCAATTTCTAGATTTATTTAATTTTAATTTTATTTTTTAAACTTATCTTTATTTTGAATGTATTGCAGATGTCTCTCCTTATTTCCCTCATTGACATCCTCCTCCCCAGTCTGGCCCTTCTTCTACCCTCCCCCTACTATTGTCTGTGTCCTTTGGTTATGCTTATGTGCATATAAGTTCTTTCATTTGTCTTTTCCTGGACCCCACCCACTTCCATTTGAGGTTCCTCAGTCTATCAACCAATTTGTACTTCTTAATCCCTTCACCTTTTTGCCCATCCCTGCAACCCCCCTCCCATCTGGCAATCAACAAAAAGTTCTCTGTAACTATGAGTCTGTTTCTATTCTGCTTGTTCATTTTGTTTGTAGATTCAATTGTTGATATGTATTTATTGACATTTTATTCTTCATTTTTTATCTTCTTCTTCTTCTTCAAGAGGACCCTTCAACATTTCATATAATACTGGTTTGATGGTGATGAACTCCTTTAGCTTTTTCTTATCTGGGAAGCTTTTTATATCTCCATTGATTCTAAATGATAGCTTTGCAGGATAGAGTAATCTTGGTTGTAGAACCTTGCTTTTCATCCCTTTGAATATTTCTTGCCACTCCCTTCTGGCCTGCAAAGTTTCTGTTGAGAAATCAGCTGACAGTATTATAGGCACTCCCTTATAGGTAACTAATT